AGCACTGCTCAGCAGTAACGAAAACATCCCTGTGTTATCAACACTGTTTCCAGCACAAATCCAAACATAGCCCAATACCAGCTACTATGAAGAACTTCAACTCTGTTCCAGCCACAACCACTACAGTATGTTTTAAAAACTTAGTGAGTGATCACATAAAACACGTTCCATGCTTTTTAAGCATTTGTCAAAGTTGCATGTGCTGAAAAATTGTTCATATTAATTTTGTTACCTGTACTTTTATATTCCAGCTAATAAATCGCTCCAGGAAAATGATGAGATGGTACACACAGTCTGATTGCCTGAAGGATACTTTTATTTTTAATCACAACTCAGTTGCATTTCCGTCTGGCAGAAAACTGCTTAGGAAAATGTACAAATTTTCAAGCATGTTGTGAGCTATAATAGGCATTTTAAATTTCTGAAATCTGTATGCTTTGAATTAAGACTTTGTTGCTCATATTGAAGTTGTCCACACTGCAGTTTTTCCTCACTACTGCATTTCTGAGCCAACTCTTTGTTTTCAGCACGTTGTTTAGTGTTCTTCTCATTAAGATGTACTACTTCAGTATTTACAGTGTCTTCTGAAACAGGTCATGTACCTTCAATATTGCTCTTCATTGGTGATATTTGAAATTCGGATACAGCTTGTTTCTTTAGCGGTACTGGGCATTTCTGACAAATTCTGCCTTGTTTGAAGGAAGATTATTTTTACAGTCTCAGGCTACGGCGGCTCTAGTCTCTTGCATCAAGTGGAATAATAAGCTACAATTTTTGTGCAAAATCTGAGAATGTGATTTTAGAAGTTAAGGTGTTTAAAGTAATTTTGAAGATTGTGTTATTTTAATTTGCACCAAGTAGAAGAATGCCAGATTCAGGCAGGAAATCACACTGATCATTCACCTTGAGAGACACAAGGAAATAATAAAATATATGTATTGCATAGGGGAGAAACGATAGGGTTTGTCATATCATTCCGTTCAACCTGCCAATAACATTACAACATCGAAATAATATACTTTAGAAGATTAATGTATACATGATTATTTTAATGGATGGGATTTTGCTTTACATTACCATAAAATTTCAGCTTTCCAGCAATGCGAAACATTGTCACCTATTGTTCAAAATAACTGATAGGCTATTCAGCATACAAGAATAAGCTTTGTTCCTTTTTACCTGTTGGCAGAGAACTTTGCTAACCAGTGAGTTATATATTATTTAACTTGAGTGTTCAGTATGATAAAGATGCTTTTCCCATGGCAAACTATCCAAGTTTTGTGTGACTTTCACCCTCTTGATGTATTAAAAAAACCCAAACAAACAACAACAAAAAAAACAAAACAAAAAAGCCAAAACCAATCAAGAAGTTTGCTCTAGTGTTGCAATTTCATAACACAAAAAATCTAAATAAATTAGCTTTTAAAGCTAATTATGAAGCAGTTTCTTGTGTTCCTATTAATATTGTTACTTTGTTTATTCTCTAAAATCTTTAAAGCACAGAAGCGTAACTGAAGTATGTCAAAGTATCTCCATTAGTAACACCCTGTTAGTTAGCCTAGAGCGTGTTTTGTCCAAGCAGCACAACTCAATCAATACCTTCCTTGCCCGAGAGAGACAAGGGAGTCTCTATGGCGAGCCAGCCTCCGCGTGCACTTATAAATGTTCCAAGATTGTTCCCGTGTTTAGTCGAATTCAGTGCTTCTGATGCTGGATAGAAAGAGAACATTTACTGGTGTCGGATCCTGGTCATCATTGCCTGCGTATTTAGTGTTCATACTGTGCTTGTGAATTGACAAAAAGAAAATGAGCTGAAAAGACTGGGTCAAATACGACTGTGCCTGTAACTTCAAGGAGGAGGCATACCCTTAGCTGAAGATGTCTACAAGACCTCTTAAAACTGCAAGATTCTTTCAAATTTCAGGTTAACTTTCTCTGAACAGCAAACTGTTAGTCCCCTGAATAATTTGATTATAATCTTTTCAGTAGATCTTCAGTGTCAGTTTTGCAGAAGGTCAGCTTTGTGAGTAGAAACCTTGGGGTCTTGGTCCTGTGTGTCTACCGTGCTTTTGCTATGGCTGTACCAGACTGTGCGTCACTTGCAAAAAAGCACTGCAAATTATCCTCGGCGTGTTAAGAAAAACTGAGGCTGATGCAGTTTTGCCTTCATAACGTGAATCCCAAAATACGGCATTTCATCTATCACCTCGCAGCAACTGCCTGGTTCATATGGGCGAGTCTGGGGAAAGAACTGCTGTTTCCCTGGCTGTCAACCAAGATTCCTGCGATGCTCTTTGCAAGCACTTGTCACAGTTACACAGTGAGGGCTAAGTTCTGCTTTACTCTTAAAATACGGGTTCACCTTCTTTATGAAAAATAAATATTTTCTCCAGTTCTGCAACTTTTACTTTTTCTATATAGAATGACTTGCAGGAAATTTGCTACTGTGATAATGAATTGATCTGCGAGTTAATATTAATTAGGGAATAGCATATCTTTTTTTTTTTTGTTTCAAGTCATGATAATTAAAATTTTTTTTAAAGTGAAATTTTGAGCATATTGTGTATCAGTTTTGTAATTTTAATCAAAATATATAATAGTTGGGTTTTTAAAATGAAACTTACATAAGCTAAAAGGAGCAGAGGTCAAAAACTGGCAATTTTAGTGATGTCATGATATTCAGGTAACTTAGTTGTCTCTTGCAGTCATTTGCATGTAGTAGGTGGATTGTTTTAAATTATTTTTCTAGAAGATTTTTTCTATGTATGGTAAAGAAAAATGAA